AATAAAAAGTAACCAGTAACAGAGAGATGAATCTAAGGAGCGTAAAGTTGAATGAAAGAATCTTCACACAAAAGAGAACATACTAATGATTCCACTTACATGAAATCTTGAACAGGCAGAATTTATAGTTAAAAATAATCAGAAGAGGCCAAGAGGGAACTTTCTGGGACAATGATAATGTTGTAAATCTTGTTAGGAGTTTGGGTGACACTCATTTATTTATGTATTTAAAGAAGGCATCAAATGCTACACTAGTGATTTTGTGCATTTCACTAAATATAAATTTCAACTAAAAATTCCATTGGCTAGCCCCAGCCAGTTTGGCTCTATGGATAGAGCGTCAGCCTGCAGACTGAAAGGCCCCCGGTTCAATTCCGGTCAAGGGCACGGACCTCGGTTGCAGGCTCAATCCCTGGCCCTGGGTGGTGCCCATGCTCGAGGCAACCAATTGATGTGTGTCTCTCACATCAATGTTTCTCTCTCTGTCTCTCCTCTCTCTTCCACGCTCTCTAAAAATCAATGGAAAGATATCCTCCGGTGAAGATTAACAAAACAAACAAAAAATTCCATTGGCTGCTAAAACCTACAAGATGCCCTACTATCATTCAAGGCAAGACCTCAGGGGCAAGGCAGAATAGGAGCTGGACCCCTCTCTCTGCTCACCATCTCTCCACACTCCCCTATGCCATTCCCTCGATCACAGAGTAAGTCAGACCACATTCCAGATGTTTGCCCAACTCCTGTACCATCAGGCGCCCATACCCTTGAGCTGTTCCTCTCCTACACCAGATCCCAGACTAGATTCTGAAGTCAGTCATTTAGACCTTGGCATAAATTAGTGACTGGGCCTCTGGTCTTCAAAGGCACTTGCAATTTTACCTTAATATCTGTGTGTGCTCAGAGATGTTTCGGGAATTAGGGAGAAGGATGGTGATGAGAAGGCGGGGCGGGGCCAGCTCCCGACTCCATTTTGTTCTGTGAGGCAACTCCTGACTCCATTTTGTGTAACTGGACCCTAGCCCTAACCCAACCAGTCAGGGTCAGCCAAAGTAGTGGCATCACCACCCCTATAAAACCCATTGATATGCTAAATTCTTTCTCTCTCCCGCCACGCCCTTGCTGGTGTACGTGGGACCCAGCTCAGACTAGTCCGAAATAAATACAGGCTTTCTGCAATTGCATCGGATTCTGGGTAGTCTCTGGGGATCATGGCACTTGGGCACAACAGTGAGGGGAGGTGGGAAGATTCTCACATGAGCCCCCCTTCCCCAGCCTGACCTGCCAGATCTGAGTTTACCCACTCCCCACACACACACACACACACACACACCAGGGAACAATGGCCCAACTCCATCCGAGGCAGGACCTGCCCCCACAGGGATGGAGTTGGGATGGAGAAGACTGGGCACCTCACCTCCTACTCAACTGTCCCTCTTGAACTGAATATGGAGGAAACAAACAGCCCATGGAAGAAAAACTCACGGAAACACCTAGAGCAGTGTCTGGCACGTTAGTGAACTCATGAGGCACATACTGTAACAGAGCTGCAGGCATTCCCATCCAATGAGAAAAGACGGAAGGCCCTGGTGGGGTTACAATGAGGATACCTCACCTCTCAGCTTCAGGAGAAGGGAGCAAACTTGTTTGGCCAACTGGCCTTCCCCCTCCTTACCCCAGGACGCCACCATTAATCTTTCATCTACCTGGAAGGTGCGGACCCAGAGCAACAGCTGATTCACCCAAACAGACCCCGTGTCCTCCACCCTTGCCACCTGCCCTTCAGCGAGGACCTTGCTGCGAGGTAAACAGACGTCCTCCTTCAGCTTCCAGCTCGCCCCGCTCCTCTGCTCATGTAATCCTCTAACTTAAAAGAAAGGAATGAAAGAAGAAAGAGCACAAAAAGAGAGTTCGTTTGTTAAAGATCCTATGCTGCACACTGAAACTGACATAATACTGAATGTCAACTGTCATTGAAAATTAAAATTTTAAAAATATGCTGATAGATTAAATAGAGAAGGCAGACCGGAGACCGGGATGGCAGGACACGGAGGATCTATCATATACATCCTATGTCCCTCTATTTAGGGAAATGCTCTCAGCCTGGGAAATACCTTCTCGGAGGGAAGCCGAGGTAGAGAAAGTGAAGAGGGAAAGAAAGGGCGCCAAACATGGATAAAACAAACCCCTTCAGGCCTTCACTTCAGGTCTGCATCTGGGGCTCAGGTCTCTTCTGTCTGCTTGGCCCCCTAAGTCCCAGGCCCAGAAGCCCGGGAGAAGGACCCAGGGAAGCACAGTGAGTTTATAAAACTCAGGGCCACACCTCTGGCCGGCAATAGTCCCAATGCCCAAATACTTTTATGTAGAAGTGAGCCTTTTAAGAAAAACACACACACACACACACACACACACACACACAGAAACTCTACAGCCCTAGCTGGTCTGGCTGAGTGGGCAGAGTGTCAGCCTGGAGACTGAGGGTCCCAGATTTAATTCTGGTCAAGGGCGCATGCCCGGGTTGCAGCTTGATCCCTGGTGGTGGGCACGCAGGAGGCAGGTGACCAATGATTCTCCTTCATCACTGATGTTTCTATCTCTCTCTCCCCCTCTCCCTTCCTCTCTGAAATCAATAAAAATATTTTTTATTTATTTTTATTTACTTTTTATTAATTTTTTTTACAATAGAAATATTTTTTAAAAACTACAGCCAAGAGACCAAACCGATCTAACCAAATTGACCCTTTGTATCTTTGTATCTTTTTCTCGTTCTGCTGGTTCCCACAAGTAACAAATAAGGTGTGAAGCCCGCAGCCTGCAGCTGCTCTCCCTTGCCTTCCCGGAAGCCCACTGTAGCCTCTGGAAGCCAACCCGCTGCTGGATAGGAAAGCAAGCCGACTGGAACTCCCAGCTCCCGCGGGCACAGCAGCTCCCGGCCCCACCACCTCACGGCCTGCCTTGGTGCCTCCTCTACTCTGACCCGAGCAAGGATCCCAACCGAGACCCATAATTAGCCATTCCACTCAAAACAGCCTCCTCCAGGGGAATCCACTGGCCTGCATGAAATAAGATCTTTCCCCAGTTTCCTCCTCAAAATGCCCCAATAGGTGGCTTTGTACAGATCCCAGCTAACTGTCTTCATTCTTATCAGGATGCCGTTCAACACACCTCAATATCATTTCTGCCGGCAGACCCGGGTCAGAGATGATGGCCACGGGTAGACCACGGCCCTGCACTCTCCACAGAGCCCCGTGAGGAGCACTGCCTGGCGGTGGAGAACCAGAGCACCTGGGGATGGTCCCCCTCTGGCCCGCTGCAGCTCTGAGGGCAGCTGGCCCGGGCCAGCCCAGCCGCCAGCCTCCGCCCCTGCCTCCGGCTCAGCACAAGCCCTCTCTCTTTCCCCCTCCGGTCCAGACCCCAACTCCACCCACCCCCTCTCTATGCTCACCCTTCAACAGGGGGAGGGGGAACCGGAGAATGCAACCGCCAATTCAAACCAGAAAACCCCAGGACACAGAACTGAAAAGAGTTTTTCATCGACCCCTTCCCCCAGTGAGAATTTCGGCTTTCGGAGCCAAAAACCTATTTTCTTCACTCACTCCTGCAAGTAAAAGGAGATGAAATGCGTTTATGTGGCTTTGCAAGTGAGCTCTTTTTTTGCTCTGAGGGGGAGAGAAAGGGTGTGTGTGTGTGTGTGTGTGTGTGTGTGTGTGCTGTACCAGACAGAAGGGTAATGCGCGGAGGTGACAAGCCAAGGTTTAACCGCCCTGACCCGGGCTGCAGAGACCTCACCTCCGACAGGTGATGCACAGCATCCAGTGCCTCTGGCTATCCCGGACCTTCAGCCCTGGGGACTGAAACACGTGTTTTTTATTCGCTGCTCCTCCTCTGAGGATTTATGGACTGAGAGGGAGCGGGGCTCCTTGGTGTGAGTCAAAATCCAGGGCTGGAACAAGTGGTGACTTGTCAACAGCACACCATCACCTCGCCGTCACGGCCCCACATACTTGCAGACAGACAGACAGACAGAACCAGGCTGTTCCCGGGAGCCACAGCCCCCTGAGCGCGGGGCCGGGGCCAGAGAACTCCCTCGGGGCTGCAGGGGTTCCTCTCAAACGAGGAGCTATGTCAGGTCACACGGGCCAAAGCCGCTGTCTGTCTCCCAACAAATGGGCTCCCTGGAACGGCCGGGAAGGAGGGATCCTATGTAGCCGAGGGGATGTGTCCACAGCGCCGTGTGTCATGTCTTTTACCCGAGCAGTGACCGACCCCAAACCCTCCGCCACGCCCTGATCCAAAGCCACCACACCGCCCCACACAGCAGAACACGAAAGCCACACACTGCTCCTCCGCGTCTGCAATTCAAAAAAATAAAATAAGCCGAAACCGGTTTGGCTCAGTGGATAGAGCGTTGGCCTGCGGACTGAAGGGTCCCAGGTTCGATTCCGGTCAAGGGCATGTACCTGGGTTGCGGGCACATCCCGAGTGGGAGGTGTGCAGGAGGCAGTTGATGGATGTTTCTCTCTCATCGATGTTTCTAACTCTCTATCCCTCTGTTAAAAATAAATAAAATATATTTAAAACACACACACACACACAATAAAATAAAAGCAGCCAGTTCTGAACCAACCCCTAAAGCTCCCCTTCTAAGCGCCCCCGTGAAACAGAGACAGGGGCCCCCACCTCCGGACCAACCCTCTGGCTCCCGGGCACAAAGCCTTCCTCCCCCAAAGCATCACTTTTCTAGGCAGCAAGTTCCTTGGGCGGCCGGGGACCTGCGCGCTCCTCTGGCTGGAAGGTTTGCGCCATGGGGGCCTCCCGGAGCGGCCCGGTGTGTCCTGGGGGCTGGGACCGGAGCATCGGTGCCCCGGGTGGAGGAGATGCTCGGGAGAGAGCCCCCTTCCAGCCGCCCGCCTGTCTCCTCCTCCCTCGTCCGCCCGCGCCCGAACCCTCGAAGCTGAGCCGGTGTGCACGCGCCCGGGTGGGCCCCGGGGCCCCGCACTCACCCAGGGCGCGGATGCGGAAGCCGCGCGGCGGGCGCAGCGCGCGGCGGGCCCAGGCGGCGCGCAGCACCTGCAGGCAGGCGGCGGGCGCGCGCACCAGCAGCACGGCGCGGCGCAGCCAGCCCTGGAAGGCCAGCCGCGAGGCGGCGCGCGCCAGCCGCGCGTCCCAGAAGCAGCGCGCGTTGGCGCGGCGGAAGGCGCGGAACACGGCGTGCCCGCCGGGCTCCTCCGCGCCCCCCGCCGCCGCCGCCGGCGCCTCCAGCCGGCTCAGCACCAGCGCCAGCGACTCCGGCGCCAGCTGCACGGGCCGCGCCATGCCGCGCGGAGGGACGGCCGCGGCCCCCAGCCGAGCGCACCGGCGGGCGCAGGGCGCAGGGCGCTGGGCGGCCCGGGCTCCGCACGGCCGGCGGGAGCGATCGGCTTACTGCGCGCGGCGCCCGCCGTCCGGGGAACCGGCCTCCGGGAGGCGGGGTCAGCGCTCCGAGGGGCCGGGGGCGGGGCTGGCCGCCGCCGCTCGCTCTCCCGGGAGGCGCTCCGCCGGGGTTTCCAAGTGCCCGGTGACCAGGTGCCTCTCCGCACCCCTTCCCGGGCTCTGCGCTCCGCACCCCGGCGGCTCCCCCGGCTCCCGGGGCCCGCCCGGGGCTTCCCCAAGTCCTCGGGGCGCCCCGCAGCCCCTGGAGAGCCCCCGCCTCCGCCCGCGGCGCTGGCTGCGCGGCCAGGGACCCCCGAAGCCGCCTGGCTGCGGAGTGACTCCCAGTGAGAGGCCACAGGGTCAGACAGCCTGGAGGTGTCAGGAACCTGGCGCACGGCCGGAAACCCAGCTTGGAATCTGTGGGCGCCTAACCTGTTGAGACGTTTTGCTTGCCCTCTCTCTGGGCCTCAGCTCGCTGTCCCGTAAATAAAATAAAGCGCTGGGCCCGCTGGCGCGGCTCCGCGGGGGAGCGCAGACGTAGGAACAATAAGGTCACCGTTCGGTGGGCCGGGTTGCGGGCTCCATCCCCAACGTGGGCAGATCCAGAATTCTTTCTCATTGTTGATGTTTCTCTCTCCCCTCCTCTCTGAAATCAATAAAAATATTAAAAAAAAAAAGTCTTGGGTCTCTAAGGACTTTTTCATCCGTGACTTTCTGGGGTTCTAGGACCTGGCCCCGCCCCCGGGACATGGAAGTGATAAGAGAAGTACAGTGTTCCAGAGGTGCCGCCCCGGTTGGAGTGATGAAATCCCTGGCATTCAGCCCTGGGTTGAGTCTGGGGAGAGGACAAGACTGAGACACCGACTTGCCCCGCTAGGAGAAGGAACTTGTGGACTGTCATAGACCTGGAGCTGGTGCCTCACAGGAACAGGGACACTGCAGATGCTGCGGACAGAGGGCTCCTCCACGAAGGAATGGAAAGGAGAGGAATGGCCCTACTACCCCATAGACACAGCAGAGTGAGAGGGAATAGAGGTCATTCCAGACCCCCACCCCCTCACTCCACCCATCACCAATAACAACTATTGGGGTCACAATAAATGATTGACGATGTCATTACATAGCAATCTCTAGCATTTAATGAACACGCTGTACTGCAGCATTAAGGTCATAACCCTGCATTAATTGCCGTTCGCATGTAAGTGTTACAGATAAGAAAACTACAGCTCGCTCAGATTAAGGTGTGTGTCTCAGTCACAGGTAAAGTAAGAAATGGAGTCAGACAACTGCCAAGGCAGGGGCCCCTAAGACAAAATTTCAGTTCGAATTATTAGCCCGAGACAACACGCTCTCTCCCCTCTGAATTCTAACTCTAAGATAGATGGATAGATGGATGGATGGATGGATGGATGGATGGATACAGCTGATAGCGCAACTGAGGTAAACACCTTTGTGCCAGCACAGGGAGAACAAAGTTCCTCCCTGAGTTCCGTATCAGCATGGGGTACTATGACTTCGAACGCTGTAGATCTAGCATCCAGGACAGTGCCTTTTCCATCATAATCATGACGATGCTGATTCCCATTTGCTCACAGCTTCCTCTGTGTCTGGAACTGCACAGAGGGTTTTGGTGTTTGGTTTTTTTTAATCTAATTTTATCCTCAAAATTAACTCTTTGAAAGGAGTAATAGTATTATGCGCCACCTTCCACAAGAACAACCAAAGTTTAGAAAGCTTTGGCAGCTTGTCCCCAGGACAAAGCTCGCAGGTGGTGCAGAGAAGATCCAGTGTCTCCTTGCCCATGCTCCTGGCTGGAGGGGGAAGCCAGACACCCATCACTCGGGCTCACTGGACCTGTATCTGATGTGAGCGGCTGTCCTGAGCTAGAGTCTCTCTCCCAGGAACTTGAACTGGAAATGCACAGACCGGCCCTTATGAGCAGTGCCTGTGGCTGCAAGGCTGTCCCAAGGCAAATCCAGGTGTGAAGTTTCATGGCCTGATATTATGAGAGAGGTTTCGGAGGTGGGACACCTCCCTTATGTTATCTACGCTAGTCCGATTATCAAAGAAAGGAGAAAGGATGTACAGAGAAAATTTTTAAACTGTACAGCCATTCCTTTTCCCAAAGGATCAGCTACCCAACCCCCAGAATTCTCAAACTCCTGCAAAATGGAATGTACCTTAAATGTTAAAACTACAGGCCCTGGCCGGGTAGCTCAGTTGGTTACAGCATTATCCTGACACATCAAGGTTGTGGGTTTGATCGCTGGTCAGGGCACATATACTAGTAAAGAAGCAACCAATGAGCCAATGAATGCATAAATAGGTGAAAGGAAGACAAATCGCTGCCTCTCTCTCTCTCTGTCTCTGTCTCTCTCCCTCTCTCTGTCTCTCTCTCTCTCTCTCTCTCTCTCTCTCTCTCTCTCTCATCTCTCTCATCTTTCTCTCTCTCTCTCTCTCTCTCTCTCTCTCTCTCTCTCTCTCTCTCTCTCTCTCTCGTCCCTCTACCTCTCTCTCTCTCTCTCTCTCGTCCCTCTACCTCTCTCTCTCTCTGGTGTGGCAGTGTACCAGTCCCATGTGGCAGTGTATGCCAGGGTAACTATAACGAGCTCCCAGAAACAGGCCAGGCACCTTCTGCAGACCATGTAAATCCTCAGACTTGTTGTTGCTGGTGTTGACAACTCCAAGGGGTAGACTCCCCAAAACATGGTCAAGATTCAATCTTCAGTCAAATCTGGCAAATGGAACCTAGAGTTTGATTTTTTTATATATATATTTTTTATTGATTTCACAAAGGAAGGGAGGGGGAGAGAGAAATAGAAACATCAATGATGAGAGTGATTGATCTGCTGCCTCTTGCACACCCTCTCCTGGGGATCAACCCCCAACAAGGGCATGTGCCCTGACTGGGAATGGAACCTGAAACCTCCTGGTTCGCCGGTTGGAGCTCAACCTCTCAGCCACACCGGCTGGATTGAGTTTGATTTTATTTTGTTTAGAAAACTGGACCTGACAGAGAACAAATTCATACTCGCTACAGTGTAATTGTGATAGAAGGTGGACTAGAGCTTTTGCTGCCCACACCTGCCTGATGTCTGTCCCAAGCAGAGCATGCGATGCTCTTCGCACCCTGACTCCGGCCTGTCTTTCTAGCTCATCTCCATTTCCATCCCCGCCCTCCTTTCGTCCCTCCAAGAGTCCATGCTGCAGCAACGCAGAATTCACACCTTCCCAAGATGCCTCTGCTCACGCTATTTCCTCTGCCTCGAAGGCCTTCCCTCCTCCTCCCAGGTGCTGTCCTGCAAAGCCCAGCTCATCAAACCTGTGACACATCCAGCAAGATTTCATCTGTTCTTGGAGCACGTTCTTAACCCCTGTGGTAAGGGCTAACCTGTTTCCCCGAAAATAAGACAGTGTCTTATATTAATTTTTGCTCCCAAAGATGCACTAGGTCTTATTTTCAGGGGATGTCTTATTTTTCCATGAAGAAGAATACGGTACACATTTATTGTTAAATGAAAATGAAGGAAATTTATTACCTGTATACGGTACGGTAGTACGGTAGTTGTCAACACAAACCAGACAAACTGTGAATCCTACAGTATCAAGAATTTACTCATTTATTCAGTGACAATCATGTCATCATCTTCTGGAACATCATCATAACAATCCAATTCCTGAATTTCCTGGTGAATTTCTTGTGACTCCATTTCTTTCAGAATCAGTGGACCAAATCTCTCATGTTTAGCCTAGGGGGAGGCCTTATTTTCGGGGGGATGCCTTATATTTCACTCAGAAGGAAACCTGTGAGTAGGTCTTATTTTCGGAGGATGTCTTATTTTCGGGGAAACACGGTATAATATTTAGTTACTGGTCTCCTCAGGCAACCTGAGCTTTCTTGAGGGCCAGGCTCTTGCCTGACTCATCTCTGTGACCCCGCACAAAGCCCAGTGTCTGGGCCATACATTCATTCCACCCAAATCGAGGATAAAACCGTGCTCTTGCTGCTTTCTCGCCAGCCTGGTCTCACTCCTATAGAAGACCGGAAAGAAAACGAAGCAACGCCTAGAGAGTTTGGAGTCACCACATGAATGTACACCGGTGGGCTTAGAGAAAAATGAATTCAAATTCTAAGCAGAGCCACAAGCAGAATTTGTGCTTATTGGTTAAATAATGGGAAAACACCCTCGGGTGAGAATTAGGAAATACGTATGTGTTCAAATATATAAACAAAATTTTAGGCAAATGTGAAAAGGCACATTGACAAAAAAATCATGACATCATGAATAAATGTACTTGAACACCATTAAATTGTTTACTTTGGAATGAATAATTTGGGTTTATTTAGAACATTCAATTTATATTATGTGAATGGAACTTCAATTTAAAAAATTAGATTCTTTTAAATAACAACTGAGCACTCTCAATAAGAGTTTTATTTGTTGTGAAATGATCCCCCAAAGGGTTTGAGTACTAAGCTCTGCTCATCCTAAATAGTCCAATATACATTAAAATTTTTTATTTATAGTAAATGATTAGGCACTCTGGTATAAAATAAAGGCAACCTATAAATGTACCTTTCCCTCATGGAAAAAAAATTTTTTTTTCCCACTTTTTAAGAAATGTGATCTGAGAACTCCCTCGCCCTAGGAGCGGTCTCTGGTTTCCTAAGGAATTCAGCCTTCTGAAGTGGAGGGCTGCTCTCTGGTTCTCTTCCATCGAACCCCAAGGGCCCGGTTACTACACAAGGCTCTGATCGCGTTTTGCCATGAACATCTGTGGGAAACCTGAGGGCAGTCTTGTGGAGGGATGTTTAATTTGCAGGGCCTGTTGGCCCTTTCCCCCCACAGTGTTAGGTCGCCTTCTCTTAAATGCAGTGAATTCTTTGACACTGTTTTCCTAAGGAGCCTGGAGAGCTCCAGGGATTGGTTAGAAGGAAGCCTCTCACTTTTTCAGCGCTGGTTTGAATCTAACCCGGGTTAACCTTATGACCCTGAATTGTTT